TCATCAAGACGGTTCTAATGATACTATTTCCATCGAAACATTGATCATTAGTTCAAAAGTTATTCCATTTAACAATAGTAATTTTTAATTTAATTAAAAGTGTATGATAAATTTTTTTTATTAAATAAGTGTACAATAAATTATTTTTATCATTAAGTAGATGTACAATAAATCATTTTTTAGTAAACTATTAAGTATATGATTATGATACATGATTATCTAAAAAGTAAATTTATATAACTGTTCTATAAAACTTTTCAAAATTTCTTAAAAATATAAGATAAGGTTCTTAACAGTTTAATCAGTCTTAGTATAACTAACAAAAATTACTAGTATGTAATATATAAAAATATTTAGTATTCTATGTTATAGTACAAAATATATAAAAAGAACTTAAAAATATTAATAAAATTTAATCTATTAATTAGATTTTAATCAAATAAAAAATTAATTTATATTTATAAAAAATAAATCAATTTATAAAAAAAAGTTTTTTTTTAATTTATAAATTATGTAAGCATTATATAATATATATATGAACCAATCAGAAACTAGAATTAAAAATAATATAAAATAAATTATTTTTTTTATTTTATTATTTTATTATAAATTACATCAGATATATAATGATGAAACTTATATTTTTTAACTGCAAACTCTGACATTTTTCTAATAATACATTTTTATAAATATTTATAAATAGCCATAATTTTTATACATATTTTTAAATGGTAATTAAGAAACTGAATCTAATGCTTCAAAAATAATTTATTATAATTTAACCTATATGTAATTGTAATATTCTTATGTATTTTTTTTGCTATACCTAATACATCTTTATATAATTCAGTTTATAATAATATTTAAATTAAAATTTATGAATGATAAAAAAGTATTCTTATAAATTTGTCATTATATATTTTTTCAATTTTAGTTTTTTATAATTAATTTTGGATAAATTTAACCTAATATAACTTTATCAATATTAAGGATATTAAAATTCTAATCTAAGATTCTTAAAGCATAGATTAGGATTTATTTATTTTATAAATTAAATTTTTAAGTTTATATATAATAATTTTTTTTTGTATTTTAAATTTGTTTCATTTTTATTATAGCAAAGTTCCTATTATAGAGGTTCTATATTTTTTATTTTTATATATATTTTGTGAATTTAAAATTATTTGATATGTGAAATCCTATTTTATGTTAATAATATGATACTGTTATAATTTTATTAAATTTTAAGTTAAAATTATACAAATATTAAATTAAAATAAAAATAAAAAAATAAAAATTATAACTATTCTCTATAATTCTATTTTATATCTATTTAAATTGACTAATTACTAAAAATTTCTCTAATTAATCAAAAGATCTATATCTAATGATTAAGTTTTCAATAAATAAATCAAATATTATTATCTGTATCTGTTAAAAAATCAAACTATATAAAATCAATTTGTAAGATCAAAAAGATCTATTTTTTCTAAGAGTTAGAATTCTTAGAAGTAATATATAAAATAGATAAATTTTAAGTCAGTTATATTTTTTCTTTATTCTTGCTAAAATATCCTTTAATTTTTCTTTTTAATTATTTCAGCATATTTAGAAACTTAAATTTTATCGTAAAAAGATAAGATTAAAGATAGCATCTCAATTAGTTAAAATAGGTGACAAATAAGCATCACAATATTGCAATAAATTACAACATTATTAAAATTTGAGTTGCAACAAGTGACAAATAAGTATCATAATGTTGCAACGCTATCTTTAGATAAGATAAAGAAATTAATAAAATAAAATAAATTAAAATGTTTGTTGAATTTATAATAGAAAATATATTTTTAAGAAAATAAAAAATCAAGACCAGTATAATTCTTCTTAAGAGAAATATATTAAAAATCAATATTTTTTGAAAAATCTAAAGACTCTAATAATGTTTTTTAATTTGTATATAAGCTATAATTTTTTTTTTTATTTTTTTTTAACTTAAGCAGAATATAAGTATTAACAAATTAGGTAAGAAAAATTTAATGCTATTAATTTTATTCAATCTCATTAGGTATTTCTATAAATATTGATAATTTTCTTCTATTTGATTACAAGTAAAATACATTCAATCTTTATAAATGTCTAGGTGAAAGATAGCTAAATTAAATAAAATAAATAACTCATTTGTTAGAGCTTTGATTTTGAAGATTTTCTTTTACTTTTAAATGAAAAAAATAGCAATTAAAATATCATTATCATTTATATTAAAACTTTAATAAAATTATTTTAATAAATTTTTAAATTATTGTTAAGGTCAAATAGTTAGAAATTTTTATTTAAATTTAGGAAAGAAGAAAAATAAAAGCAATTATTTAAATCTTTTTAGAATTTTTTTGATGATAATTTAATTGGAATATTATGAAGTTAAGGTAAAATTATAAATCATTAAAGGCAGTATAATTAAGACTAAAATAGAGTTTAAATATATTATTATTTGCTAGTTTATCAGCTTTTTATTATAAAATTTTCTGTATCCTTTCACTTTAATTAATTTAAAAAAGAGTTAAAAGTCATTAAAATGTATTATATTAAGATCAAGACTGTAAAATTAAGAATTTTTCTAGTCTTATTAGTAAGATTTCCTTTAATAATAAAATTGTTGAAACTATTAATTACAGCTTAGCTATTTAAGAAAATTGAGATGTTGGACTTGGTGAACAAATAATAATGGTAATAAGAAAGGTAATAAGTTTTGCTCTTATTAATAAGAATAAGTTTATTATTAAAATATAAAAGAAAAGCTATATATTATTAAAAATATTTGAACATATTTATTTAAGACCTATTCTACATGAAGTTGAAAATGGATTGATCAGATAACTATCAGTATAAAATGAAGGTATATATTCAATACTAAGGATAAAATAAGTGAGATAAGTTAATCTTAGTAGTATTCTTCATTAACATAACTCTTAATCAATTTTCATTAGTAATTATATATTATGAAAATAGAGATAAAATTGATGATGTTACAAAACTTTATTAATATTATGTGTATATTGTAGGCTAATTGAACTTTCTTCAAATTTATAAATATGTACTTTTATTGAATAATGTGATAGATGAATCATAATTTTGTGAATCTTGATTGAATAAAGTTTTAGGTTACCTTAACAATTACTAAATTGTTACCTTTTAATTACATATATAAGAAATATCTTTTATAAATGCAAAGATTTATTCAAATTATTTAGAGAATTATTACAAAATTTTAAGAAAGATGTTCTATTAATAATATATTCATTATATGATTTAATTATTTTGTTGTTAGAAAAGGTATTTAGTAAAGTATAATTTTTAGTTTTAATATAATGTTGAATAATAGTATTTTAATCTTTAATTTTTTAATTACTTTTTTGATTATTATTTAATTCAGCAAGGAATGATGAGCCGTAATAAATTCTTTTTTATATCTATTTATTCTAAAATCTATACTAACATTATCATATAACTATTATTAGAGGCTAATCTAAAATTAGCTTTGACTATTCTACTATTTTTGTTTGCTAAGATCAAATTAGTAACTATATTATATAAAATAGGATTATTACCACATCTATCAAATTCTTCATATATGTTTCTATGTAAAATATCTTTCTAATTCAAAAGAAATGTATTGCTTTTATCTAGAAATTGATCCAGAAATATTAAACCATATTTGTTAATATAAAGTAGTACTTTTTAGGTTTTTAAGAATAACAAAAGAATTCAGTAGAATACAACCACCTTCTATTTTGTTTATCAAAGAATGATTAGACTAAAAGAAATCTCCATATTGTTGTATTTAAGCAAACTATTTGTTACGTTATTTGTCACAGATTAATTTCATAACGTCAAACTTAATGTCGTAATGCCGACCAAAACGTCACGTGTCGGTGATTTTTTGTTGGTTACGCTGGGAAAGTAAAAATGCCACGTGGTTTATCGAGTTTTTAAGTAAAATTGGAAAATAGAGAATATTTTAAAATCAATGGATAAAATACTTTATTGTCATTAGATTTCGCATATCCATAACATTACAGATTTTGTTATAATTGTGATTGGATTAGATAAAGTAATAAAAGTTATCATTATTGTTTTAGTATGATGAAGATTACATATATACATTGCGAATAATTCGAATAATTCAGAGAAAATTCATGGCATTTTTGAATGAACTAAAAATCGATATTATCAGAAAGCAAACCCTTTCATATACTTTATATGCTCAAATTCAGAGAAAAATTTCACGTCAATGAATAATATTATGTTCTAATGCATCCAAAACCTAATCAACGCTACTTTAACAAATTTTTACCGCGTACGTCACCCGGAAAATACAAACACCAAGCAATAGGTAAAGGTTTAAATTCCTCGGTCATCTCCTTCTCACAGCGGTCACAATGACACAGAAATCCATAAGATCGTAAGAGTTGCCTATGACGGGACTTTTTGTCATAATCCGGATTACAATAGGTCAAAAAAAGTTGTTCCCCCTTTTTTATATCATGTTTAGCGATAATGGTCATTCGATAAGAATTACAACCAATGGAGCGTAAAGTTTTACGAAGCATCTTATAAATCGCGGGCATAGTGGTCGTTTTCGATATCGACCATTCTTGCAAATATTGTCGTCCTTCAACGTTATTATCACAATTATGATTAAATAGTGCGATTAAAGGGAAGATTGCCGCCGTATCGTGGACGGTTGGATCGATCACCGGTCCTCCAAAAGAATTCGGGCCAATCATCGCGATTAACGTGATAAAAATCCAAAAATCAAATTTTAGATCATAAATTGAAATCTCCAATACTTTCAAAATTTCCAAATAAACCTTTTCAAAATCCCCATCCCATAGATCATGATTCTCCAAATAATGTAATGTTGTATGAAATCTTGTCAGATGTTTGATCTCTTCGACATCCAAAGGGCAAACGTTTCTTTTTTTGCCAATGGCGAATAATTTCAATAATAATAAAAGAATGTTCTTCTTGACGGCACCTCTTTCCTTTTGAATGTAATCAATGAGACCTTCAATATCCTTACCACAAAGTTCATCATGATAAAGGTTCTTTGCCAAACGATAACATTCATCATTACAAAATGATTCTTTGCATGATGAGTTTGGACAAGGATACTTGAAACGAGATTCTTCATCATCGCTCGGTTTCTCATTAAGCAAGTGAAAACAGTAATCACATCGAAGGTAATAATGATTATGAACGGTTAAGAAAGGATCTTCTTCCATAATGATATCTTCACCCTTAAGGTCAACCTTGGAGAAAACTCCCAACTGAGTTAACGGATTTTCATCACCCGAATCAAATTTGAGAGAATCCAACTTTAATTTGCCATTACTAACAAAGTCAAGTTTTTGTTGAAGTTCCCGCAGGGCCGATTCCTTTGTACGTTCATCAGGTCGATGATCCCAAGGATACTTTCCGTTAAATCGATAAAATCCAACGTCTTCTTCCGTGATCAAAAACTTTTCTTCATTCTTTTGACCTTCCTCAACCATGTGATGGATTTGCTCCAAATTAATTTTGGATAATTCTATCCTACGCTCCAACATCTTTTTTCGATCTATATAACTCATTCCAACAAAATGCATGGTTTCAGATATTATATCGTTAAACGCTTCTGCGGCTAAACGTGGTAAACCTAACGCAACCAAAGATTCGGCATAGCGAAATTTTCCTTTTTGATAAACGGTTTCTAATGATTGATCACGACTTATTGCGTCTTGATCACATAAGATGATAACCCTACGAGCGTCCATTAAGGCGAGTTCAGGAAATCCAGCTTTTAAGCACGCAAAAGATCTATTTGACCATAAAACCGGATCTTTTGGTGTAATCTCTAACCCTTTTGTATATTCTTCCCATGCCCGAATATACTCTTTACTTTTAATAGCTTCATTTCCGTTCTTACGATGTTGATCGGTCATCAAGACTCAAAAAAAGAAATGTGATCAAAAAAAAATGTACCGCCTGATCGACCAGATTCATTTTTTATATAGATCAAGTGATGCTGCGGAATGCTTGTTTAAACACGTGACGAAAAACCTGTGATATGGCTTTGTTCATCAAAGATCCTTTATCGCATGCCAAACATTAAAAATTGAGATTTTTAATCATGTATGGGATTGCTTTGAGATATCAAGAAGACACGTATACCACAAGACTCGGTGGGACGACATTTTTTTTGTCCTTGCGAGATGAGGCGGAACAAAAATGATTTGCATGGTGGAAAAAAAAAAATTTATTATTTTTTTTTTTTCTTGCGACCGATTTTTCATAGTCTGCGCATTTCGCATCGTGCATCAAAAAGTTCCATTCTTCAAAAAAAAAAATAACATGCATATCATGCAAACATGCGTTAAATAAATAATTTAAAAGAACTTCCAAATAAGGTTCTCGAATTGGAGTTATTTTTATTCTTCCTCTTGATAACCGTATTTGGATTACAGACAATAGCGTATCTTTGTATATATATATATATAGAGTTTGTTGATTTCATTTCATTTATTTACCATTTTTGTTGTATGAATTGCAATTGCTCATACATATATTCCCGACTGATTATGTGCGAGGATAGGATAATTTTTCTTCATGCCTTAAAAAAGTCGAAGGCACACAATGTAAATTCACTTTGTTGGCATATTTTGTACATTCTACAAGCTCAAAGGAAGCGTCACCTTTTTTTTTTATATTCTTTTCTTGTGCACGTAATTAATATGACGGCCGAAAAAAAAAAGAGAAGGAAACGTTAACCGTGTGTTACGTGATATGATAAGAGAGTTTAGGAAATTTCACAAATATCACCATGCCGTTGGATCTGGTAAAAAAAAAAAAATTCGAATATGAAAAATGAACAAACATATCAACAAATCAAATTCAAACAAATAACAAAAATCATTCTATCAGGTTTTGTTCCATGTAGTGGAAAATTTTTCTTCCTATTTCAACAAACGTGTAACAAAAAGTTTAATTTTGCCAAAAAAATATAAAGAATATATAGGACCGAAGCTCCGATTTACCGTTATGGTTTAGTTTGTTAATAAAGAACTTGAAATCCATTTATTTGACAAAACAAATAAATAAAAAATATATCGTACATATATATTCTTTTTTTAAATATTCATTATGTATGTTTTATTATTATTTATTTGCATATTTCACGACATGGACTTTTTAATTTTAAATCATCCTGAAATTGAGATTTTGTTTGAAAATCAAAATAATAATAGTAATATTATTATTGTTAAACGAAGTTTATTTACAATTTACTATTTTGATATCGAAAAGATAGATAATATTTAATGATATTTACACGAATCTTACGTAGTGAAATTAATTTGTTTTTATTTATACAAAAAAAAAAAGAAAAGCCACAAAGTAAGTACAAGACGTCTTATTACACCTTATGTAAGATTTGGAAACCAATCATTATCATAAAAGAAAAACGCGAGATTTATTATTACCCGAATTTTACAACAAATTATGTCTTAAGGGGAAATAAAATTAAAGAAAGAAAAAGAAAAAAAAAAAACAAACAAATAATTCTTGATGTTCTTGTGGAAACTTTAAAAATTCACGGCCGAACTCTTTCTCAATTCTATTATTTCAAGAAATTCAACATTTATGTGGTAGCACCTTTTCTTACAGGTAGATATATATATTGTTATCTGTACTGCTGGTCATGATTTGTTTGCCAAATAAATTTTTTTCTATCATCGATCTTGATTTTTTTTTTTTTACAAAGATCGGTTGCCTCAGTCAATTGTGGCTTAAAATGTCAAAATAACAAACTTGTGGCCATTGAAATCCCAATGTGGCACAGCTTACCCCAATTCCGCGCTTCATCCGTTCATCCGCAGTGGTCACTTTTTAGGGTCTTGTCATATGACCAATAAACATTGAACCTTATGATTTCTAATGGGACAAAAATACGCGAGTTGTATAAAATATAAATCAACGAAAAATGTCATTTCTTAATCGAGTAAAGATTCTAGAATGGAATTGAAGAATGTAAATAAATAAATAAAAAAAATATGATGATGATAAAACTATTACCATATCAATCATTGAACAATTTAGGAAGTTCTTTTAAAAAAAGTTGCGTTTTATTTCTTTTGGAAGTTATCCGCCGCGAAATCCCGCACGCACTTTAGCTTGCATTCAGATTTCCAAATTTATCAAGTTACGGCAGGGCGCTCTACCGCAGTAAAATTCCGTAATGACTCATTCCGATTTGTTTACATTTCATTCAAGAAATTCATTTAAAGTTAGATTCGTATTCCCTACTTTGATAACATTTGATTTGTTCGATTACAATTATTTCTAGTAAAAAAAAAATTGCCCAAATTAATTTGGTTAAAGAAGATTTATTCGTAATTGGTCAGGAAAAAAAAAAAAAAAAAAAAATTTTAAAAAAAGTGGATCCCCGTGCGGATCATTCAAAAATGTACATACATAATTTTATTTTTATTAAAGTTGAGATCATATGAAAATTGAAGGAAAAAAAAAAAATTAACTTTAAATTGATTCTTTTTTTTTTTTTTTTTTTTTTCAAAGATACCATTTGATGCGAATTAAAAAAAAATTTTTTTTTTCCTATTATTCGAATGCATACTTTTTTTTCCTTGCATCCAATTTAGAAATAATTTTTCATATCTTTGTTTTCATATTGTTCGTGACACCAAAACCATTTATTATACGACTTTAGTATAGTTTATATGTAAACGTTTTTCTCGTAACTTAAAAAAACTGATAAGAAAAATTTTTTTTTTGAAACGTTTTGTATCACAAAAAGATCGGATCATGTATCACAAATCTTCAACGAACTTTCTACACAAATCGCGACTTGGAAAATTTTGTACTTTAAACAAAAAAATATTTATTTATTTATTTTTTTTTTTTTTTGAAAATGTCGCAAATTGTTGAAAAAATTAGGAAAAAAAAAAAAAGTATAAACAGAGAAAATCGAGAGACAATAAATAATAAAAAAAAAAAAAATTACAAAATGAATAAAAAAAATGAAAATGATTATGTGATGTAATAATGTATTTGGTGGTGTGATGTTGAGAATTACTGTAATTATTGTAAGTAGTATTATTAATTCCAAATATTCAATATTTTTGTTGTGGAATTTTTTTTTTTAATGTATTTGAAAATGTAAGATAAAGAAATTAAAAAATTAAAGAATCTCAATCATTTAAATCAAAGCAATTGCAATATTGTATACAAACAAGCTGAATGAAATTTTTTTTTTTTTAAAGAATATTATGTTTAGACTCTCCCAAGAGATAAAAAAAAATATTTATATATGTATGTAAATTCTTCAATTCCTCCTAATCATAACCTCTCAACGTAATTAAGTAAAGATATAAAATTAAAAAAAAAATGTTCATGAAATCAAATTTAAGCCTAATTGAAATAAAGAAACATGAAGTCATTCATATGGCATTATGAATCATGTTAATCAAATATTAACGAATTTTCAAGACCTTCACCTTTTCCGTAAAATCTATCGAAATTGGCCGGTAAATGACCATATTTCTTATAGAAGGAACTCTTTATGCGACAATGTTGAAATACTAAAACACCATATCGTTCAAAGAATTCATCAGGTAATTCCCAGCTATCAGGATCAAGGGGCTCCCCGTGACATTTCGCCTTATTAATCAACAATTCACATAATTCGTAAAGATCATACTGGTCTTGATATTGAATCATACGGGATCGTAAATGAAAACATGGAATCATGTCTATACGACGATCATGATCTAATGTCAAGTATCGCATTTGTTCTTCGGTGAGAGGATGTCTTATCTCTGGCACGACAGGATGAGGATACGTCTGTCCTACTTTCTTACTCAATCTTATGATCTGTTCTTCTTCCTTCGAAAACCTCTTCGTCGTGTCTTGTTGTTGTTCAGATGATGGTAAGTCATCCGAGTTATTAAATTCCACGCCGGGAAATTCTTCAAGATCATTGTCATTCAGATAAGCTGAGAAGACATCAGAAAGATCAAAAACAGCTCCATTCATGAATGGGGAGTTTGCTCCGGTTGAAGTTGGGTTGTTTTTGTTTGTGTTTGCGTTGTCGCCGCTCGATGAAACGGTAGAACCTGTAGAAGAGCTCGAATTAGATTTTGACATCACTTGTGATGATGATGAAATGGCCGATTTGTATAATGAAACAATCGACGAATTGAAAGGATTTGAACCAACGAAAGGAGGTTCATGACTGATCTGTATGCCAGGAGTTGAATTGACGAAAGGTTTCATATCAGCAAGGGTCATCTCACGAGCAAACTCTTCAGCAAAGAAGGTGCTTGAAGGCGAGATCGATTCAGCGATCGACTCAGGCGTTAAGGGTGAACTTGCAACACTCACGGATGTGGTGGAAATGGTGCTCGATCCATTAGGAGACATCATCACGTTACTTGAAACGGGTGATGAAACACCACGACCATTTGAGCTCACAGGAGTTTGAATTAAATCAAGAAAATTGTTTTGTAGCTGTTGTGCGGTTGGAACTTGTTGTTGTGATTGTACACCAGCGTGTCGCATTTGCATGGCCCCCAAACCAAAAGTGGAAGTCATATGTCCGATAATACCACTAACTCCGGTCAAAGGTTGAGAAGGGGTTGAAGAGCGAGCGGGTACATTAAGGGATAAAGCATTCTTTATCTTTGTGGTAGCATCATTGTTCCCATTGATCTTGTTCAAAGCACATTCAAAGGTAAATGCGACCTCTTTAAAATAATAGTTTTCGGCTTCAAGTTGCTCGATCAACGAGCGATAGTGCGTAAGTTCTCTCTGAACTTTAAGCGCAGAATCGTATTGATTTTCGCGTAAAGTCTTTATCGTATTTTCGAGTTCTCGAAGGTGACGTTCTTTTCTTTCTCTGAACGCTCTTTGAGCGGCTCTGTTTTGAGCTTTACGTAAAGCAGGGGAAGCGGGATTTGGTTTGCGACCAGGTTTTTTCCTTTGTGGAGGTTGTTGTGATGGTTGTTTTTGCTGGTCATGTTCTTGGTCCTGGTGTTGTTGTTTTGTATTCGAAGAATCTTCATTATTAATATCATTCATTTCTTCATGCATGTCTAAATCGTCTTCGTCGTCACCTTCAAAGGAAAATCGGTCTTGAGAATAAATGTCTGAAAGTTGTTCAGCGGAAGTTCTTTTGAGAAGTTTTTGAATCGGACCACCTTGTTGATACTCGTCACCGGTAACGGCGTCAAGTTTTCTTTTTTCGGTATTGATAAAGCTGATTGTAGTCGTCATGATGAATAATTAAAAAAAAATAAATCTTTTGTTGCGTTAAAAAAAAAGTTTTTTTTTGTTTTTTTTTAAAAAAAAAATTAAAAATTCAGAAATGAGGAAAGAAAAGCAATATATATATAAACGTGGAAAAAAAAAAAAATAATAAAAATAATATATTATAATGGGTATTTTTTTTTTTTTTTGATTTTTTTTTTTTATCTGAAAATTTTTTTTTTTGTTAAATTTTTTTTTTGTTGGTAACTACTCGTATTTATACAAAAGATTTTCCTAATCTCCTATAAAATAAACAATATATTGTGTGTATATTTATTTATTTTTTTTATTTATGCATACAAACTACATTAACAATATATTTATTTAAATATATTATGTTATGTATATTGTATAAAATTTACATTAAAAGTATTTTTTCGTGATCGAAAAAATCAAATGTTTTTGGATTTGAGAAGTAAACAAATGTTTGAGCAAAAAAAAAAAAAAAATATCAAAAAATGAAAATTCCTTTTGGGTAGAAAAGTTTAATTATAAGAGTATAAATATGTTAAATATGTTATTTGGGTAAATAACTTTCCGACAACCGATACTAAGAAGGGATAAAATAAGTATAACATGGAGGAAAATCCAAAACCCAGCCAATAACAATTTCCAACTCAGCCTAATAAATAAAGTACTTGAAACGCAGTAACAATAAAAACTTAAAAAAAAACTTACTTTTTTATATATATGTATATGAATTCTTTTCAATTATCACACATATGTTGCGCTTATTCTAAAAAAAAAAGGAAATTGGCGGTAATGTGATTGTGATGTCAACGACAAATTTTTTATGATGCTAACCCAAACGGAGAGGGGTTACAAAAGAAAATTTTTGTTTTTTGAGAAGGTTCTATAAATTTCTTTTGTTTTAGTTGTCATGTGCACCTTTTATCTCAAAGAATAATCCAGAATTTTCCAAAATTCCACTTTCATTACGAATGATAGGAAAGGCGGAAGGGTTACAAGGAATTTTTTTTTAATCAACCGGAATTTTTTGAGTTGTCAAAGGTTTTTTAATTTATTATTCATTCGGGAATTAGGAAATTAATTTCCTTGGATTTGCCACACAAAAAATTTAAGTCCCTTCGGGTCGTTACCCATAAAAGCAAGATCTCCGAAGAGAAATTAAATTAATCATCCACCACCTTCATTTACATATTTTTTTTGTACGCTCCTTCGAATTTCTTTTTCACACGATTCGTCTATGATTATGTGTCAAAAGGAACCTTTGGGAACGGATGGATTTTATTTTACAAGACATGTGTAAAAGATGCAAGGGTTCATTTGATGAGTGAAGACCTTTGCAAAATGATTCGTGGTTCGGAAATTTTGGACATTTCTTGTAATATTTCCACGGTGATCTGATTTATGGACGCATATCACATCATCGAATCATCTCATTTCCCTTGTTGGTATCACATGAATCAACCATTTTCCCGTGAAATGAGTCTTCCGTGGCGAATTACGCGCCAATTTTTATTTTATTATATATTTTTTTTTTATGGTAAAAAAAAAAAAGCAACCAAAGGTTAAATTACGTTAATTTTAGGATCATAATCCAATGGAATGTCCGAAAATATAAATGTCCAAAAAAACTTTACTAGAAAAAAAAAAGACCAATTCATCTAATGGGAAAGATCGACGTATCAAAAAATGGTTAGAGTTTCGGACAATCCCGTCTTAATGTCCCTGCGATTTACCTTCGCCTATGCAATTGAAAAAGAATGACATATGTTTGCCACATTCACCTTTTTTGAATCACGGATTCACAACGAATGTCGATGACCTTCATTAAATGTAATAGGATAGGATCAATTTTTACCGACCACTAATTTAGTAACAAATAAAAAAAAATGAAGCTGTCAAATGAATTCAGTCCCTTTTTAATTTTCTTTTAATAAACGAGGGTTCAATTAAGTTAGAATTTGGCCTAGTTCACCCTTCCCGTGAACCCGTGAACCCATGACCCTTCGGCAGATGTGAAAATTCTTTTTCCACTAACCGTCGACATAAAGGACCAAATTTGTAAATTTTTAAAGAAAACGATCGTCATCGTTAATTAACAAGCTATCTCTTTTTTTTTTTTTTTTTTGCCCTGGCGGGAAGGATAGAAACAATTAATGCATCTACATCTTATCTTTCTGCGAATCCATCAAAAAGGTACACATTTAGTATCCTTGTATACATGATAACTACTTTTCTCACATTATGTATATGATTATAGTAATTGATAAGATTGATTTACAAATACTCGTGATATATAAATAAACACTTGTATCACTCGAGATTAAAAAATGCGCCGATTATCATTTTCGTAAAAAAAGGTCATTTTCTGTCCGCTAAAAATTTTTTCCCTTGTTGTACAGGACCTTATCATTGTAGAATGTACGTAACCCACAGGAAATTCATCGCATTTCCATAGAGAACCTAACCATGTTGTATTACGGATGCTGTAATGAAGATGAAAGTCTCGCGTGAATAAATTTCCCTTGGGTCTATCACTACTTTGACTCCTCGCTGCGCAGATTTTCTGTCGCAAATAACGAACAATTGTCAAAAAATGAAATGCATAATCTTTGCGTATTATCGTGTTGATGCATGTGCGACCTGGACCTTCAACTTTTTTGGTGTAAGAGATAAGAAAGACGACTTTTGATCGGAAAAAAAAATCAGATAAACTCGTTATCTTCTTTTTTTTTTTTTTTTTCTTATCAATACGGAAACAAATTGTTTGGTAAATTAAGATCAAAAAAGTTTTCCCACATGAAAATCGCCAAAAAAATTTTCCGAATACACAATGTTTTGCTGAAGAACATATCTCGTAGTAACTAAAACAATGGTTTTCCTATAATAACAGTTACACGATTTTTTTTCTCTCGAGAGGTGTTATCCTCGTGATGAAAATAATAAATAATTCGTGCATGAAGAGAATTCGCAAAAATAAAAATTTATCACATCAAAAAAAAAATTCATTTCACATATTTAACGAGATTGTCACCAATGTCACCAACCATTGTGATGACCATTTAAATTTCCGCTTTCGGACCAAATATTTATTTTATTCACTTGCCCTCCGCATTGCTCCGTAAAAAAAAAAAAAAAGATATTTTATTCTTTTCTAAATATTTCTTCAACATACATAAATTATTACGAGGATAAACGAATAAACGATTACAAAAACTTATTTAATTCCTTAAAAACTTAAAATACTGAGATTCTTTTCAAAGACCTCATCAGTCGAATACGGGATTTCCTTCCTTATGCGGGGGAATTAACCACCCGCGTCGTTTTACGACAGATTTCGTGTTCATAAACTAGTTCTTTTATTGTTATTACTATTATTATTATTATATTACTTAAAAATCAAAAAGAATTCTTTCCCCTTGGCTCAAAAGAGTTGAAAATCATGTGCGTATTTACATCATGTGTCTTGCGTGCCACGCAATTACAGTCTTTTTTCCTATTAAAAGTTTAGCTTCTTTGTTTCAAATGATAAATGTAACCATGGCTTGTTCGCCAGTTTCCAATGATGTGGATTATGAGGTAAGTTGTATGATTATCGAATAGCCATTGAAAAGATCGACATTGTTTAAATTAATAAATTGTTTTTCCGGTTACCGACATTTTAACAATCATTTGTTTATGCATGGAATTTTCAAAAAAAAGTCGTGTCACAACACGCGATTTGGTTTTTTTTTTTCTTGTATCAAGTCGATTCGTTCATTCTCTATATCAAAATTATTTTTATTAAAAAAGGGAAAAGGGAAAAGGGAAATAAAAAGTGTGTTTGATTGAACACGATGATTTAAAAAATATTATTATTTTTTTTTTTTTTGGAATGCGATATGATATGGTCTAGAATGGGAGTTTTCTGATTTTCGGTAGGGAAACTGCAGATTCGATTGTCATCTCGCGGACGACGATCCGTGATCCAAAGTTAATGGTTAGTTTCATGAAATGCAGACGATGAATCCAATCAAAAATCGACGGACAAAAGGAAAAAAAAAAAATAAATAAATAAATATTATATTTCAAGTGATTAATTTTTTCTTGTATATGCTAAAAAAAGTCGAAATTCATGCAAGGGTCGATGTAAATAGTGTCATTCTCACCTTCAAGAAATTTGTTTATTGGCATTATATGCAAGATTAAATTGTTCACCGGAAAAAAAAACTTTAATTTCAACTGAAATGGGTGAAATAACCCATTATCACGCACATATTTACATGTTTTAACAAAAAGTTTGTAAGAATTATCCGTGTACGACAAAAAAAAAAAAAGCTGTCGAGGATTCCTTCGTTGAATAGACCCTTTTTAATTTTGGTGAACAGGTTAGGTTTCAAACAAGGATGCAAGGTTGATGAAAAAATCTGGACAATCGAAGATCAGCTCATAAATCGTCATTTTACAGGACATAATGAAATAAAGGGGTACATAAGTTTCAAAAACTGTACGTTTTCTTGGTTTCTCTCTTTATGACCATGTGGAATCCTTTCTTGGTAATTAAATCTCAGAATGCATTAAAAAATAATTAACTAAAGAAAAAGTTTTTAATGCTTGAACAAATCAAACGGAACTATCGAAGTGTTTGAAATGAAGTATTTCTCCTTAAGGTTTAGGTCCAACGATATTCCGAACTTCAACATCATGAATATAAAGCTTCTATTTATGCATGAAGGAATAAGTTTAATATAGGAGATTTAACTCGTGAAAAAAGCAATTAAGTTGAATTGAATTCAAAAATATGGAACATCCGTTAATCACTCTCATGTCACATAAATTACAGATTGCACCGTTGTTTACCCGGAGAAGCCGGACTGCATGGGCCATAAATAAAGATCATCGCTTTAAATTTGATCAAACTCGTAATTGAAATATGGGGACCAATTGGCTTTCAAGTTTATTAATCACATGGTTGGATGATTACGAAGGGTTGTTTCAAAGCTTCTTATTGACACAATATG